GGATGGGGGGTGAGCCGGGCCCGGCCCGACGGCGAGGAGGAGGAGAGGATGGCGGGGGGGGAGGCGCACGCCGGAGACGTCTGAGTTCAAAGGTGCACGAGGAAGAAAGCCTCCGCTCGCGCGTTCTCTGCCTCACGACGAAAGAGCGGGGGCTTTAACGCCGGGCAATAAAACTCGTCGAGTGGCGTAATGCCTATACGAGTGTGATGTGCCCGCGAGTATAATACCTGGGAGATACGTATACTCCCCTACGTAGGTGCACGGCAGGGCTGGTGCGCTTATTTCCTGCGTTATTCGGCGAAACGTAAAGCGGAAATTAAAGCCGATAGACCGGGTAAACCGGGTAACGGGCCCGAACTCGGTCCGGATAATTATGTTCGTTTCGTTCGCGGCTCTCCCTTTAGAATCGGAATCGAGGAATCCTATTTGCACGTCGGCTGAGTTAAATGGTCACGGCGCGAATTATGTGTATCCATCGTACATTTTTGTGCACGCGTCGCGTCGATTCGATTCAAAGGCGGAGGAAGACACGTGATAATTGAAAATTAACCCCGAGGTCGAAACTATCGTCAGATAAGTATTGGTTGCTTGGACATCTAAATTAGCGACGTCGCGCAACCGATGTTGTAATCGCGAATTCCGCGTGTTTTCCGCGGATTTTGAAAACGGAACGACGCTTCTTTTTCTCTTACCGGGTGCAATCGAGAATTATCGTTCGCGAATTCGGAGAGAAATTCTTCGCCCCGCAATGCGATCCCCCTCGATATCGGTAAGCACGAGAGAGCGTCGTTTCCCCGCTTAACAGCGGGATTCACCGCCTTCGTGCGTATATCGCAGCTTTTTTCAGCGAGCACGTCGCGACCTGCAACTTTCACGCCCAATTAAAAATAATTGAATGCAAAATCCGCTTTAATTCACCAACTTTTAGACGGCTTGCGATAGCGGCTCGTAATTATGTGCGCGGACTATAAGGCGCGCACTCCACTAAAGGTGCTCGCGCCCTCGTGTTTTTAACGTCATACCTTTATATTTTTACGACAAGTATTCGTCGCTCGGTTATGACGGATATATATGGCAAAAGATGTGGGCATGTGTCGAGCTTTTATGCCAAAAAGAGGCAGGGGGAGGTGGGAAGGGGGCGAAGCGCGATAAAAGTGAGTCTAGGAAAAAGCGAAGTGCTCGTACACGATTTATTGTAATCACCACTAAAACATGGTATGCAACAATTTGCAATAACGTCCGGCGATGAGGATTCAGTGCTTGCCGCGCGATCGCGCCCCCAATACGCGATCAGGACAGGATGATGCCCTATCATTGATGTTTTACGTTTTTTGTAGTTAGAGAAAGGAAAAGGATGAGGAGAAAAGAAAAGATCCTTGCCTCGATTATGCCGATTTTATCGTTCATCAGTCGCGAGAAGAGTTGACGGTCCGCGTTACTTGGTACGAATCGCGCGCGGAATATCGGCTTCGCGGAAAACGCGGCATACGTTATGGCCGTCATCGTAACGCGCCATTACTCGAACATTTCAGCGATGTTGAATCGTATATGTGTATACGTATCCACGCGTGCATGCACGTCGGCTATGAAAATTGGGTCTCCGTGAGTTTAATTGAACGACCGCCGGCGCGCGCGGTTTCCGAATGCTTGTCCATAAGCGAAACGACGAAATGATAATTGGCGTGTGCGTAAAAACCAGTCGCTCTTATTCATCGTTCGTTCTCGTGGTACGACGCTATTAAGTGCACGCGGCCAATAAAAAGCTAATCCGTTCGCTTTGCCGCGAACAAAAAGAAAAATGGATTTTCGATAATTTCCCGAACGCAGTGGATGTCCACCGACATTCAACTTTGCCTTCCATCGTAAATCTTATTTTTCGATGAAAATCGTATTTTTTTTCCTTCTCTTTGACAGAAGGGCACGTATATTATCATTTTGCCAAAGAGTGCCCATCGACAGTTTGATTACCGTTCTCATCACACACGGTATGTGGGTGAACGAACGTCATTGCTAATATTCCGCTTACGCGCGCATTGTCGCTTCCGTTAAAATTTTATGCGTTATATAAAAGATGAATTGGCATTTTTAATTCTGGTGATTGTTTCGTATTTATATTCTTTTTGTCGTTTTTGCCCTTCTTTCAAAAATTTTCAAATTATATTTTTTTTTCAAATTTCAAATTTATATTCATTTCAAATTTATATCTTTAGTAGAATGCCTAATCTTAAAAACAAAAAAATCATGATATTTCACAAGTTATAAAATTGTATAAAATCCCGCAATGTAAAAATACACATCTTCTTACATTCGCACGTTTTCGACTAAGAACTAACGACTAAAAACTTTTCCCTCTATTAATTCTTTTTCTGGACGCGTTAGTAGTTTTCTGCCGTGCTTGAAGCTTCGCGAAAAGCGGAAGGAATATCTAATCCTGAGAAGATAATAAGATCGCGACACTTGATGAGCATCAACGAAATGGGGTGAGCCTCTTTTAGGGGCGGTTCGGCACTTCACGACGAAAGCGAGGTAAAGCGGAGGAAACCGCAATGACTTTCCGCGCGATCTCCGATGCCCCGAAGCGCCCCTCTTTTTCCTTGGAATTTAATAAAAATCCGAGAGCTTCCGGAATCGAGCTTGCAGCCCATCGTCGCTCGCCGAGTTCTGTTGAGGAACATTATGCGTTCGATTCTCTTCTCGACGCATCGCCTTTCGATTTTATTTCACTTTACTTCCTCTATCGTACTTTCTTGTTCTTCCGTGCATTTCTCTCTTGTTTTCAACATTCTTCACCGCGTCACATTTCGCGAAGACGTTTCATCCGTCTCGAGTAACTTCTAGAAATTGCGTCGCAAACGACGAGGCTTGGATTGGCCGGATTTCGAAAAATTACGATATTTGTTGAAAATATTAATGATATATCGCACGCTATTATTATTCACGCTATTCGGTGAACAGATCAACCGTACATATCGTGGGAATTGAACAACTGAATTAAAATTTAAGCTGATCTCATACAAAGACATTATTTTTTTAACTGAATTCGAAATTAAAATTTTAATGAATTCTGGTTAAGCAGTTAATTAAACACTAAATAATGAAAAAGTATATATCTCATCATATAAAATTTACATAAAATAAAATTTTCCTCGCACCAGAGCCTACAGTATTACGAAATATTTTAATAGTTTTGTTTTAGCATAAAGTAGAATATATCAACGAAATAAAAAGGACAAAAATTTTCGCCAAAAATTTATCACAAAATGATTTAAATAAAAATAAAAATAAAGATAAAAATTATTTTTCTCTCTTTGTTTTTATGATTAAAACCAATGTAAAATCTTTCTCAATATTAATCCTAAAACGATACCATTAACTCTAACACGACCATAAATATCTAACGAAAACTACTAACGCGTCCATAAATATGGCATACACGAGAGAAATTTTGACTGTTTATAACATTCATGAAATGTATATATTATAAAAATATTATTTTCCTTAATTAATATTCTAAATGTTAAAAATTAACTGTTATAATAAAATATAAAAAATTTTATTAATTTTATTAATAAAAATTGTATATTTAAACAAGTAAATAAAAATTTCAAAAAAGCTGTTTTTTTTAAATTTTAAAAAAAATGTATTTTTCGGAAAAATTACTACAAAAAATTCATCGATGTTCAATAAGCTAGAAACTTTAAATTGTAAAAGAAAATTATGCCAGTTTATTTAAAAAAAATAAACTATAGCATATTTTTAAAATAAGTTATGATATAAATTATTTTAAAAATTAATTCTTTAAAAAAATTTATTTTCATTTACAGAAATTCAATTATAATTTTTAACATTATTATGATTTATTAACATTATTATGATTCTTTTAAATAAACTACATTTTTATTGGACTACATTTTTATTGGTATTTTGTTAATTTATTCACTTATATATGCATTTATATATTGTTGTTTAAAATATATTAATAATAAGAGTAATTAGTTAATGGTAGTAATAATAGATCTCATTAAGTATTTGACTAAATTGAAATAAAGAAATGCAAATTAATTTAGCTTCAAAATTATAAAATTATTAGAAACTCTTAAAAATTTTGAAGAAATTGATTTTAGCAAGAAGTCGCTCCAAATTTATTTTATGTATATGAGGCATGTATGTGTACATTTCATTCTAAGTTTAAACTAGTATCGAATCTTTGCGATATACTTTGTACGATTATAAAAAAATTAAAGTTCGCAAAAAAAAGAAAAACGGATAGAAAGATAATTGCATCGAAATCGTATAAAAGTAAGATTGACTATTTTTGTCATTTGTTAAACTTAGCATCGCTCTGCGCTTTTTCTTCGTGACCCAAAGTGGAAGAACAGAAGCAGCGAAGCCGCGAGAGAGAGAAGAAATCGTGAGGCTGCGGGATAAACGGAATTGCAAGAGCCGAAGCCGAGGCTCTGGGTTAAATACTTTCCCGTTTCGGTATTCAGCTTCGTTTACTCGATAGTGCAGATTTTCCCTTTGGCCCGATTCGCAAATGCATTCCTTTTGCGCCGATTCGCAGAGGAAAGGGGCGGGTATGGCTGGGCGGATCGATTGTACCCTTTGGATTTATCCTCTTGAGAGACCGCAGGCGGTGTTACACTTTGTAACTACAGTGCAACAGCGAAACTACGAAGCTTCATGAGTTTCAACTATCTGCCGCCCTTTAAGCTTTGCACGTAAAAAAAGGAGTGGGAACGCGCCCATTTGTAATATTTTATAAATTAACAGTATAAATGTGTTCATAAATACGTTCATTTTCATTTTTTTTTTATATATTTGCATGTTATTTTTTTATGTACGTTTCATTTCGGAAAAAATTGTGCGAGAATTAAAAAAAAAAAAAATACAAATCGCAACCACAATATCGAGGCAATATTTCTAATTTAGCACTCATCGATTGAAAACGAGCACGTAACTGTGCGATAACCGTGCAATTGTTGTACCAGGATACTTACGATGCATCTCAATCATCACTGACGTCGACATGGGTTGACTAATATTGTTGTTGGATGCTTGACAATCAAACATCGCGTGAAGATCCGCTCTTGACAATTCTCTGACGATCAGCGTGTTCCTACGAAGAGCAGGAAATTCGCCCGGTTCATCTTTAGAATCTAAAAGCGTTTCTCCGCGCCACCATCTCACTTTAGGTTCGGGACGACCTGAAAATAAATGTCATAAAATTTAACAGCTTTGTTAAAAATATAAATCCAGTATAAAAATAAGTGAAAATATTAAGTTATTTGTGTATTTAAATTAGATAACATTTTCAACTTTACTTTATCTATTAATGATAATATATATGTTAATAATAGTTCCAATAATTTGAAGTTATATACGCGCGTTTAAATATTTTATTGGACCACTATAATCTTTATTACTTCCAATTTAAAGAAGCAATTGAAGTTATATTATTATAACCGAGTGAAGTTATTATTAACAGCTTATCTATTTTAGATATCAATTAATATAGCGTTAGCGTAATATTAAGGTAATTGGAGAAACTAACTATCGAACTATAAGTAATTAGCAAAATTTCAACAAAAATAATATATATATATATATATATATACACGTACGTGTAATTTGTATTATAATCTATAGATCTTTTAATATTAAAAGTTTTATTTAGCAACACGCAACGTTTCACGTCATTTGTCTCGCTTCAAAATTTCTCGAGAACACATGAATTTTTAAAAGTGGTGCTTTCTTTCCAAGAAACACCTACGATATCGACATGTCGGCAACACTATCCGATGCAACGCGGCGCGTTACCTTCTGTCTTACTATTTCTCCGCGAACGTTTGCCAAGTTCCATGCATATATGTACATACTCGCATCCCCCCCTTTACCCCCCGCCCACATCGGTGTAGGTTGCGCGGTGCGCGTTAATTCATAATTCATAATGGTCGTTGCGTGCGGATAATCCCCCCGAGGGTGAATATTCCGTTAAAGGGAGACGGCGAGTCTGAGGGGGCGGTCTAGCTTGTACCGGAGCGACCTCATTATTTTTTACCGGACCTATTTTCGTTCGGGAGGGACAAGCAGAAAAACACGCGCGGCGGCGGCGGTGGGGCGGGGGGTTGCACGGGGGTGGCGGCGCCGAGGGTTGTACGAGTAGAGTAGAATTGTAGGCGGCGGTGAAGAGCGTATAAGAGCGGCACAGTACTGTCGTGTCCCTCGGGTGGCGGCATGCGAGGTAATAAAAATAAATTTATTATCGTTATTGCCTTCGCCTTGCCGACACAGCAGCGTGCGCGCGCCCGGATATTAAAATGTAATAGAATAAAAGGGAACGCCGAACGAATACATGCATCACGACCGCCGTTAAAACACTCGACGTTTTGTCGAAGCGTTTAACGATCCGGGCAACAGTACTCTTTTAATTCTGTATTTACACGGGGCCTCGCGCGCGCGCGCGCGCGCGAGGAATAAATGACGTTTCACACGGAATATCTATAAAATAATAATAAGATGATATTTATTCGTTCCTTTACTGGGAGATCGACATATGTTGTTGTGTGTAATAACAATTTGTACAATCGAGTTATTATAATGATCGCTGGCTAGATCAAAGCAAAAATTGTTTGGCACGTTTGATAAAAATCACAGAGTTGAAAAGTCGCATTGGAGATTGGAATTTTACAAAAAAAATTCTCGCGACCTCACCGTCCAGAGTTCGGAGAAAACGTTCTTTATCTGCAATATCAGAATGCGGTCGCGTGAAGTTTTAATTAGACGCTATAACTAAGAATAACACGACTCCGATCTACGGGATGAATGAGAATCGTGGCTGTTTTACATGCGAGAACGAGAGAACGTTGTAGAACCAGAAGAGAATCCATTCCCACCGGTCGTACCAATTATTCTACCGGCTCTTTCGCGGCGTATTTACGAGGGCAACCACGAAAGAGAATACTCAGACGTATTTTCGACCTGTCTCTCATTATAGAAAGTAGGACTTACCCCCAGAGACGAGGCACTGCAGTCTCATGTCACCACCTTCTTCGTAAGGGCCGGCGACCGCTGGGACGGCCTTTCCGTGTTCGTCGATAATGTTCGGCTTTTGTGGCGGCACTGTAACAAGCAAAGAGGGAAAAAAAGATAAAATATCAAGTTTATCATGATGAACATAAGTAGTCTCAACTAAGCTAAGAGGGGAAAAGTTAAATAATTATTTTAGACAAACAGTTCTAAAAGAAATGCAAAGTGCATTTATAGACAAACTTAGCGTAAATTTTATTTATCGCTCACATAAAATACAGTCCGACTGTAATTTTATAAAATTATTTAATGTCAATATTTATTATTCACCGATTCAAAAATTTCCTTTTGCGTTTATTACACGTTAAGTGTCATATTTCATAAAGCACCGTACAATTATAACCAGCGTAAAAAGCCGAACAGCAGAATTGTGCCGTTCGTCCGAGTTTAAGTTTTTAATTTAACGGCGCGAGCTTTTATCGCGGTGAAAAATAAACCCAAGAGTAAAAAGATAGCATTTCGCATTATTTCGAAATTCGAAGCCGCTTTCCGCCAGTGGCCCCGTTTTCCAGTAGAGAGTACTACGCTCGGTGCAGCCGATCGTTCGAGTGGTTTCGAGTTTGACCGCCTCTGACACCACTACGAGCTATTTAAGCACAGATAGGAAACTTTCCATGTAAGTCAGTGGCGTCCGGGGAGGAGTAATTCACGATACTCGTGCCACGAGTACCGCACGAATAGTCGAACAAGCAGGTGTACAGGTGTTACAGGTAACCGCTGGAAACTCGTGCGGACGAGTGAGCCAGCACGAAGGCCATACGATGATAGTTTGACGCAAATTTTGCTTCGACGCCGCAAGATAGAAGATGCAGGACGAGACCCCGAGACACCCTTCATCGCCACTCTATTTTTTTCATACGCGAATGTGTCGCCAATACTTACGCTAATGAAAACCGATTGTGTCGTATTATATAACGGTGGGAGGGAGGAGGGGGGGGGAGGGAATTTTTTATGTCACTTCCTGGATTTTTACGGCACGAGCGAGAGGAGCGCTCCGCGCTAAAATTGGATTGGTATCAGGCCAACGATCCTTTCGAGATAACTTACAACCTCTTATTATGTCGGTAATTCGTACACCCATCGCGCGCAATAAAGCATTTTGCGTGCAAGGAAACGGTGCGCCGCGAGGTATCAAAAGGGCACGTAAGGGGGTCGCGCGCGGGAATTCCCGGTCGTGTATAGCCCATTCTGACACGCGGATGGGAAGAAGGGTGGGTCTATCGTGGCGTGTAAACGCTGGCAATTGAATATCGGAAATAGCGGCGTGTCGGAACGTCAGAAGGTGAGTGGCGAGCGTATTGCTTCGAGGATAGGCTGCAGTCGCGGTTGGGATGTGTCGGATGTCCGTCCAAACGAAACAGGCTGCCCTATGAAAATTCACAACGGCGAACCAACCCTTGGACGAATCGATGCTAACGCGACCTGATTCCGCGCTGTAACGCTAGAATACTGCGTTAATGGTCTTTTCAACAACAATCTCTCCTTTAACGGCAGTTTCTTCAAAGTTCACGTTTCTGAGACATTTTATAATTAATCAAATTTTATAATTTACTCGACGCGTTAAAATGTAATTAACCCTCTTGTATAACGCGTTGTCAGGAAAGACTCACATTTTTCTGTAATTATTACGTGTAATTATTACGTGTAATTAACATAGCTTAAGAATTAATATCCTTCCATACCTCGTACATCGGGCTAAAGTTCATTTGTTCCCTCTTATAATTATTCTCACGGGCGCACACTGGCGCACTCGGCGCGGGTCAAATTGAACTGAATGTGAAATAAACTGGATTAACACGGATGCGCAAAGTTAAGCCGTCGGTCACGATATCGTGCACGTGAGAAAATCTCGACGTGAAAATGTTATCCGATATCATCCCGACGAATGAAGCACCTCTGAAAATAGGATTACCATACTCTATGCATTTTGTATCGAATATAATTGATATATTTTAGTGGCTTCTTCGGTATTAACCGCAGCCCCTTCCCGCGTCCCTTTCGCCTCTCTTCTCTCTCTCTCTCTCTCTCTCTCTCTCTCTCTCTCTCAATACGAAATATCAGCTTAACATACGGAAACCTGCCGGAACGTACGCTAAATTATCAAAATCTGTCTTGGCGAGGTACTTGAACCCTCGCGTTTGTAGACAATGCGGATTATGGATAACGGATAATCGATTACGCAAGAACATAATAAACAAGCTATGTTTGCACGCTTTTAACTTAATGCACCGCTATAATATCGAGTGATCTAACATAATCCACGGTGAGCTCTGCATAAGCGGGCTTTCGGTCACTAGGAAAGCCAATCGGAAAGCTATGACCTTAATGCTGCGGATTTAACGCATTAAGAAGAAACGCGTAACGCAAGAAACGCGTAGGAAGCAAAAGTTAGTAGCGTTTGCAAAAATAATTTAACTTAATTTGTGATATTTTCTAAAAACTTTGTTTTTTACCTTGTTTTCAAGTAAATCAAAATGGGAAACAACGTCATGCGGCTTACTTTTAATTAGAGAATTTCCCTATAACAATTATAAACTTGTAATTTACTTTAAAATTTACTTATACTGTAATGATAAGTTTTCGTTATTAATATTTTGTGAAACGATGTAATGCATTTTATTAATTCCTGCAAAAGTTGAGAAATGATGTTTGCAGCGTCTCGCTGGTGACTGTTTCCATTGTTCGCAAACTTCGTGGAAGAACGGGACATTTCCAACGAACATTTTCGCGTGACAAATGATACGCTGGAATTTAACGGGTTAATTTGTACCTAAGTTTCACATCGGCGTGAATTGACGTGTCCTCGCAAATCATGATGTTTGCTACGTGACACGTGAAAGAGGAATTGTCAGAGCGTATTCTCGAATATGAGTATTTTGAAAATAGAAAAAGTATTTGAAATTTAGTATTTTGAATATTGAAAAAGATATTTTTATTTTAAAACGAGCGGAACGACGAGAATAAGCAGCCGCAATTATTCCACCTTGTTTCCCAGAAATAAGCTCTTTTCGAGCTTATTGAATCTTTAGTATCAGAGTTTAAAATTCAGTCGACCAGTTGAAAATACGACGAATTGAAAATACAGCGCCCAATGTTTTATCTCAAATATCTCTTTGATAAAAGTCGCACTAAATATTTTATTATTTAAATGATAATTTTTTCAGGTAAAATACACGTTACTGGAGCACAGTATATATGTAAATATATTATTCGAACCTAAAGTCCTCCGGTAAAAAGTTGATATTTAATTTATCGCGGCCTGATATTATCCTAATGGCGAGTGTTTCGTGCGAAAAAGGTTTTATCTGTTAATGTAATAGTAAGATTCCTCCAGGGAGTGACCGCACTAGTAGTTTTTCCGAAGGGTTACTACTGTGAAGCGAACATCCAGTAAATTGAGAAATCATGTAACGAAGTCCTTTTCGTAGAAAAGTGCGCTTTGCACGGAGAAGTGCTCTTTACCGAAAGAAACGTCCAATTCCGAGGTGGACGTCGCTTTTGTAAAATCTCGTGTCTTTTCTCTCGAGGATACATTAAGCGTCCCAAAGTGTACAGTCGGCGCTTTAAACAGAGATCAAACGTCCTTTGTAACAGATAAATAGTGTTGCGACAACGATTACAAGAAGAAAGGGCAAGAGAAACTTGAATTGTAATATAAAGAAGGTATTGCGCTTTTCTTACAGGGTGAAGGAATATGTATTTTCAATATTTTAACGAAATAATTAATAAAGACGCTCGTTCTAGAAAATAGAAATCAACTCAATTCGAAATCAGATTGGGTTGATATTCTTTGTATTTTTTGATAATAGTTTTTTTGTAAATTTATAAAATGTTGATAAGCATTCACAATATTAATTATCGATTTAAAAGTAATACAAATTTACAATTTTAGCTTCGTTTAAGGCTGCAGTTTAAGATCGATCAATAATTAGAATTGTGAAAAATGAAATAGTAAAAAAATTCACACAAAAATAAGTAGGCATAAATGGCTTTGGAAGTCTTACTTATTTATATACATAGCGATTATTACATTCATTTATTAAATTAAAATAATTTTCTTCCTAAATATTATGTCTGGCCTAATAATAATATTGATTTAACTTAAGAAAAAGTTAAGAAATATGAATGATATAAAATACAATATGAAACAGCCATTCGGCAACGAGGATTGCGTGTTCAACTATGCTAACTATGTGAAACTATGTGACTAATGGAATTTGCTTGCACAATTGTTTTTCACTGTGTATGAATTTTTATAGGGAATAGCATAATAAAATTCTATCAAAGTTCCATTGTAACGATTGATTACAATTTTGTTGATGATAACAAGCGCATCGTTTTAATATTCTTCAATAATCGCGATATAAAGTTATACATTAGTTATATGAATCCGTTTTAAAATATTAAACGAAATTACATTAATACGTGAAATTGCAATTTATTCGTGCGATCATTCGCATTAATCGATTCATGTCGAGCTATCTAAAAATATTGACACGATATTCTGCGCATGACGGTTGAATCAATGACATGCTGGCGTAAAAGTGAACATTGGAGCACGATAAAAGTTTCGATAATCGTTACAAAATAAGAGATAATCTCTCGAGAACGTAATATAAATTATATCGAAATAACTAGATATTTCTCAATCTGTTCAGAATATATTTCATATTACGATTAATCACGTAAATTCACAGAGGTATTCATTTTTTATATTTATTATTATTGCTTATTAATTTCTCCCTCACGTAAAATTCATAAAATACAAAAATAAAAGAAGAAAAATATACTGCACATCCATCCGAAATATGATATGAATGTGATATGATGCGACATCATATAACACATGCATTTAGCATACTTTTAAATAAAAGATACAAACCTATCACTGTCAATTGAATTCTGAAGTTTCTAGTCGGACTTGTGGTAAAGTCCACTCGGCACCTGTATTCGCCTTCGTCCTGTTCCTGTACGTCGTTAACGGACAAAGTTGCTGGATCCGTTGATGTGCTGAAAAATGCCCTATTGCTGAGATAATCCTTATCCTTCCAATGTAACGGTTTCTCCGAATGCTTGCCGCGCAGGTCAAAACTGAAACAGAAAAGATCCTTTGTTTATTTTATATTCTCCACTTGTCATGATTGTGAAAAAATTCGATATTGTAGATTGCAGATGATTGTATTTAGATAAGAAATATTATTTAAAAAATACAGCGAATGAAATACGATAATATAGAAATGACATCTAGGTTGAATTAAATATGTGACATACAAAAATAGTTATATCTATTATTTTTAACTATCAAGATTGTGTGTACATTATAATAAAATTATACAATTAGCACTACTGACGGTCATATAAATTTGATGTCATATTAATGCTATTTAAATTTTTGATACAGTTCTTATAATCATGATATTCTCGAAAAAGATCGAAAGTCTTTAATAAATCAAAAGTTGAACCTACATCCATTTTTAAAAATTTTCCATTTAAATAGATTATCTTTCTGTAGACTTAGTTAAATATCTTTTTTCTGTTATAGAATTAAGAAAAAACTTTGCTGGAAAAGCTATAATTCGGAGAAAACGCGTAGTATTTGCAGTACGATCTCGTATATAAGCGAAAATCGCTTCGCGAATAACGCGTGCTCGGGCATGACTGCGCCATACGTCGCTTATGTTTTTTGCCATTCCGTGCTGAGAGTAGTGGATCACGATGAAAAATAAAGTGAAACAAATGCAAAACTTCAGAACTAATATCAGGAAGAGAATTTCGTTAACTCTCCACTCTTTAATGCACTGAACGCCTCGCGCATATTCGATGTAGACGACAAAGTTGGGTAATAAAGGTCACACATGACATAGTAGAGAGCATAATTTTACTAATTAATTTAATACGATATGAGACCGCTTTTGTGAGATAAATTTCATATTTAAAACTATTTTAACTTCATGGTCACTAAAAAATTATGATATATTTAATAATTGAATACGATGCCCGTCTCTCTGTTACATAAACTCTATTATACTATCTCCGTTATAGGAAATAATATTAGTTACAAACTAATCTTTATATAATTTTATAATTTCAAAATATCATTATATCGTATGTGAGATATGTGCGATAAATGATTGAAATTCAAATTATATATACATATATATATATAATTAAAAAAATACATATATTTAAAATGTATTTTTTTTTAATTCTCCTTAAAATCTATGTTGGAAATCTATGTTCCAATTTTCCATCCAATTCCACTCTCTACCTTTAGAAACAAATGCTGATTGAAAAAAGTTGATCATTCGTTCGAGCACATTTGTGTCGTCGACAATGCATCGAATGACAATGCGGCAAAAATCACGAGCCATGCCGTACGCTCGAGGTGTTAATTAAGAATGTATCGGCCAACTGGTCGTCTTCCACACTCGGACAATCGGTTTTACAAGGGAAGCTGCACTCGCAGCCGCTCGTAGACGCTTCACCGCAGATCGCCTTGCAGTGCGATCCTCCCTCGCATACCTCGCCCCCGAGACATCGGGGTGAGCATCGAATTTGCGGAAATACCACGAGTGCCTGGCCTGATACCAGATTTGGTCGCGCGTAGAGTTGGAACGGATGGTGGAGGACCAAGAGGACGGGGGTCGGATAGCCAGGATAGGATGGTCGCGTGAAGGGCTAAACGCGGCGCGGTTAGGGCATCGGCGTGGAGGGTGCGGCGAAGGGGTACCACCGAGTGTACATTCCTCCGGTGTATTACCCGGAGCCGGTACCCACCCGCCAGCTGGCAAAGCGTGTGTACCCGCTGTGTGCGATCGCATGCTCTCCCATATGCATGGACCGAACAACAACGATTCCCTTCCCCCTCCCCATCCCCCTCCCGCCATTCCGCCAACGGTGCTTCCGCGGCTCGCATTCCCCCGTTAGGCTGCAACGAGATACGTATGCATACGTACGGTGTAACACGTGTATGAGCGCGTTTACACATGCGCGCGTTCGGCCGAGGCGTAGGAGCGGTGGATGTGAAAGTTAACCGAAACTGGAAAGTTGGCACCACGCAATGGCGCGAGAGCCGACGGTGTACAGCGAGAAACCACCCTCTCCGTACATGATCGCGAGGCAACGCGTAGTCGAGGCCGAGGGTTCCAAACAACAACCGTCTGCTGGGGATAGACCGGCAGAAACGATTACTTATACAGCTCGGTGCGCCGCCGTGACTGCAAATTGCACCGCACGTAGCACGTCGTTCGAAAGTTACGAAGCGCCGTAAGGGCGTACGAGCGTGGACCAAGGGACAGCGTATATTATCCCTTGAATTTGTCAAGAGTACTTACGTACACAGGCGACTTACATACACACAGGTTTCAAGTATATTGGCGTTGTAAACCCGACTTTCGACATTGCGCATTCTCTCCGCATTTCTTTTTTAA